GTGATTTTAGCAATATAATGAAAACTTATATTTTATTAGATAGGTAAAAGAAAACGTCCACTACTCAGATAACCATGCTAGTAACTAGGTATGTGTATATGTAAGTGAAAGTTGTTTTACTGAGGTTTTGAATTTTCTAAAGCTTGGGTCAAATAATAGGTCGGAAAAAAGTTTCTTCGTATTTTGTTTGTATAAAATTGAAAAAAAAGATCTCCTTGGTTCTACTGTGTGTATCTGGGTGGTTTTAATATCAATACATACAGGATATAAAGTTAAAAAAAGTTAAAAAACACTTTCCCTCCATTTTTAATTATTTTTCTGTACGCCAAAATGAGTAAATTTAACGAAGAAATTCGAAACATTCTGAAGTTTCATTACAAAAAAGGGAAAAATGCGACTAAAGCCGCGAAAAAATTTGTGACGTTTATGGACCTAATGCACTGTAAGTAAGAGCAGCACATAGTTGGTTCAAATGTTTACACTTTAGTCTGATTACAATTTATTCTTAATTCAAATCAATGTTTTAATTTTTTTGACCGGTATTAGCAGAATATGTTTACAAATAAATGTAATTATAATCTTGAAACAATATTTTACTTGATGGCAAATGTATATTAAACTCATTTATATAGTTTTGCCCTTATAAGGGTTGTAGTTTTGTTTTGGTATAGGTATGTATGAATGCTTATATATTTTTATTAATATCAAATGAACAAAGAAATTCCACCAAGAGACGTGAATTGCAAATATAAACTAATAAAATTTATTCTATCCAATGCGAGATAAGATATCAATGAAAGATATTCTATGAAATAAAAGTATCGAAAGAAAGGATGAAAAGGATATTCACGCCGTCTCGACATTCGATCAATGTCCAATCTTAATCGGATCAATTAAGATTCGCTGTAGGAACGGGAACGCAATTCATCCCTGCCTAGTTAAATTGATTCCGTAGCACAGTCATCAAAACGCTGTCGGATAAAAATATTATGTTGAAATCGTTCTGTTTTAGGTATTTCTATTTTGGGTAAAATGTTGGATTAACGCGCAAATTTTTCGTTCTTTAAACTTTCAGAGAGAATGTGTTATTTGTGTTTAATTTAAATTCATAATATAAATATATTCAAGAGATTAGGAGTTATGTTTTTTTACTTATAAGTCAGTGCTCGACTCAACCCACCTGGTGGTAGGTGGTAATTAAGCACAGGTGGTAAATTGCACTGTATTAGCGTTATTTTAAATATACTGTGTTGTATGTCTTACAGAATATAATTTTTTTCCAATGTAGATTATATTTGATTAAGTCATTTTTTACTTTTACAACTGGTTCAGGAAAAAACCTCTATCCTGGGAAGTACCAGCAAGAAACCCAGCGGGACTTTTTTTAAAACACAATTTACAGTATAATATTTCATACTAATGTTAAGAAAACAGAAAGAAACAGCATGGTAGCGACCACCTCATTCCCTTTGATTATTATCTATAGTGTACTTTTTAGTAGTATAATAACCAAACAATTTTTGCTTAATTAATATTTTAAACCGTATTTGCTCCCATAACAACTGTTTGCATTCTATGATTTAGATATTTTGAAGAAACAGTTTAAGCGCTCGGTTATTTACACCATAATGATGTAGCCTCCTGATAAATGTCTCAATAAGATCACAATATATACCCAAAGCATCCTCTGAATTCGCCCATTCATAGAAAATATGTTTGATTAGCTCAATACCGGCATCAGTTTTAGAGCGACCCCTGGTAAAACCACCCTTTTTTACGGAGTAATTTTTATGAAGCAATTGATTTACATAAAAAATAACATTTAATATTTTTATTTAACATTATATTTTTATTATATTTTTATATATTATATTTTTTTATGTAACATTAAACCAATATAAGATATATTGTAAGTAAACTGTGAAGTGAAGATGTAAAAGTATCTATTACCCCATATCGTGATCTATCTAGTGGGTGTCGTAACAGGCGACAATTTAATTTAATTTAAACAAAACATGGACAGCAGTATCTTCTTGATAAAAACTTAAAATAATAAAAAATATGGTTCCTATCGCGCCCGCCAGGCGTGGTAACTAGAGTAAAATCCGTTTTATGAGGCAATTGATGGGGGAGGCCTATTTTCAGCGGCGAAATTTTAATAGGCTGTAATGGTAATGATGTTCAAGGGATTGGGAGTAATATTATATTATTTTACAGATAGGTCAGTACTTGATTACAACCCCATCTGATGGCGAATGTTTATAAAGTCCAAGATGGTAATCGCACTACGTTAGCGCATTAAAAGGGACTCGGCCTTTCTCTGTATTATAACCATGTTCAAGGGATTGGGAGCTATATTATAAATATTCTACTTAGGATAGACCAATGCTTGACTACAACCTCACTTGATGGCAAATGTTGATAAATCCCAAGATGGTAATCGCACTACCTTAGCGCATTAAAAGGGACTTAGCCTTTCTCTGTATTATAATCATTTTCAAGGGATCGGGAGTTACATTATAATATTCTCCTTAGGATATGCCAATGCTTGACTACAACCTCACTTGGTGGCAAATGTTGATAAAGCCCAAGGTGGTAATCGCACTACTTTAGCGCATTAAAAGGGACTTAGCCTTTCTCTATATTATAATCATGTTCAAGGGATTGGGAGTTACATTATAATATTTTACTTAGGATAGGCCAATGCTTGATTATAACCTCACCTGATGGCAAATGTTGATAAAGCCCGAGATGGTAATCGCGCTACCTCAGCGTATTAACAGGGTCTTAGCATTTCTCTGTATTATACTTTGTTCTATGTTGTATGTTCATATTTGGTTATCAGGAAAGTACTTATATACTCTAGTCCAATTTCAGTCACAGGGACAACTTCCGAAAAATATTTTTAATTGATAACTGTGCATATGATTTTATAAGTGAGAGAGCCACGATGCAGTTTGTTATGGCTGCTGCTCAAATAGATCAACTCTACCTACTCGGGAAGGACAGCGCGTGTACGAGTACAAAATATCAGCTTAAAATTGCAGGATAATATGGTGTTTAATTATTTTTTATTTATTTGTACTTTGTTGCACATAAAACATCAAGGTGGAGTCAAGATCTTAAGGAGTCTCTATCAGTCAACCTATATGCTATACTATCTCAGTTATTATAGGTGACAATCTGTTTGCATTTTGATTTTAAATCAAAAATAAATATGTGTCTGTGTGTCACAGCCTCCATTTACCTTCAAATGAACTGTGTTTATTTTGTGTGTTTTGTGGTTTTGGTCTTATTTCTATTAAAAGAAAAATACTGTAATGATATCATACACAATCTAACTACTAGACTAGCTACACACTTCCTCTTTACTAAAAGAAGGAAATCGGAAGCATGCTTGGATAGGGTGGTAAAAATACGAAAATAATCACATTACAACCGGCCCTAAATGATGTTCCCGCTAATGTTGACTTCGGCTTGCATTAGGATTCAAATCTAGACCTTTATTACTAGCATGCTTTGCTTGGTAGTGCTTCATGCCAGATTTAGAAAAACGAGAAACTTATGAGATTACCTTAGTTCCTGTTTGTCGGTATGTATGTTACAGAGAAGTTTTTCTAAGTATCACAAATTGTTTATATAGGGAGGTTAAAAAATATAATTTCCGGCTTAAGAAGCTATTTGGGTAAAGGGGTAGCAATTGAAGTTGCGGTATTCAGTCAATATCTTTCCTTTTTACCTTCCTTTTAAATATTACCAATAATTTGCAGACTGAGGATACGAAGAAAATGTATCATAATTAATATTAACTGTACTAGAGCCACGCTGCAGCTATAATATTATAGTTGCGGCACGAATATTTAATAATTCTTTCTGCAGATGACGCAAACCAACCTGATATTGCAAATGACCCAGAAGGAGCTTATTGCGAACGTGTCGTTTTCACGACGTCGTTATCGTAGTTGATGTGTAAACGTGAGATATTTACACGTCATTGCATATGCTATTGGTACTAAACATTTTGTTTGCTCTAGCTAAGTAAGTTATTATCTCAATAAGATAGGTACATAAATGCATTTGTAGTTTTACCCAAATGCCTGCATTATTTTTTTTAATAACATTACGGTTTCGGATAGTATAGCCCGTAGACTTTAAGTTCTATCTTTGATTAAATAAATATGCTTACGCATTGTCATCAATACGGTCTTAAATGGAATGTTTTATTTTCAGTGAAAAGGGTCTAGGTTTACTGCACTCACCATGGGAAAAACAGCGGCGTTAGGGTGTTATTTCACGCTGGTATTCTGTAAGAGCGTGGTGCTAACCCGGTCGAGCCGACATATTCGTGCTACAATCATAATATAACTGCAGTATAGATCTACCACGTAATAATATTTCATAATATGCTAGCAGTCTTACTTCGATTTCCGGTGCGTTATGGTATAAGATAGTTAATTGCAATTACGAATTCTAATGTACCTAGAAATCAAGCCTTCACGGACGTCGTATTTCTTAGCCTGGCAAAATGATTTATTTAAGTAGGGGAGAGGCGTACAAAATGACCTAGGTGGGTCAAATGACATACCTACTTTTCTCCGAAACCACAGACTTATTAGTTCTCACAATGGCTTGTAAGTCGCTTAGTAACATGTCGCAACCTGTGGCAGCACCAGTTGTGAGTTTGTTTAATTTAGTGTTAAAGTGGATTGTAAGTAAGTAATTTTTACTTTAATTTGTTTCTATTTGGCATTTATTTATTGTAATTTTACTAAATAACTTTAAGAATGTTTTGAAAACTCAAATTTAGTAATTTGTTATTTTTTTTGGTTTGTGGCAAATGGTTTTTGGTAAAATAGCATACTATGTCATATGACCCACGTTTTTTTCTTTTTTCCAGATAATTGTACATCATGCCACGCTACTATTCTAGAAAAACAGACCGACAGGATTGGGATAAAACCTCCATGGAATAGGCTATTGAAGCTGTAAAGAATAATGAAATGGGCTGGCTATTGGCTTCTAAAGTGTTTAACGTGCCACAATCGACTCTTATAAGACATGCACTGAAACAAAATAAAGTCTTAGCTCCAACTACAAAAGGTACCTACTTAGTTTTTTTTTTATTTTCGCGTTTTGTTCGCATGATTAGAGCGGATTTAAACACGTACCTTTGTTTTAGGTATGGGTAGGTACAGGAGTGTTTTCACATATGAAATGGAACGAGAACTGGTAGAACATATAAAAATACTAGAAACGAGATTGTTTGAATTCACAAGAAAGGAAGTTTTGGAATTAGCGTACCAGTTTGCAGACGTTAATAATATTCCTCATAACTTCAACAATGAAAAAAGATGGCAGGCAAAGAATGGTTGGCTGGATTTCGACGCAGACACCCGGACATATCCTTGAGGAAACCTGAAGCGACTTAAGCTGCAACAAGCCCAAGCCTTCAACAAGCCCCAAGTAGCACTGTTTTTCAACACTTACCAAGACATTGTTCAGAGCAACAACATTTCTCCTCATAGGCTCTACAACGTCGATGAATCAGCATTATCAACAGTCCAGAGACCCCAAAAGGTCTTTGCTACTACTGGGCGTAAGCAGCTAGTGCTGAAAAGGGGTTTCATGTGACAATTGTTTGTTGCATGAGTGCAAATGGCCATTTTATCCCGCCGTGTTTAATTTATCCTAGAAAAAATATGAAACAGGAGTTGATAGACGAAGCTCCTACCGGTACTATGGGTATTGCGCAGGAATCAGGTTGGATGACAACAGTTGTATTTTATAAATGGTTTGTGCACTTTCAGTTGCATGTAAAAGCGAGTCTTGATGACAAAGTGCTTTTAATAGTTGATGGACATATCAGTCATAAAGGTATTGAAAGCTTAACATTCGCAAAAAAGCATGAAATCATTATGGTGTGCTTGCCACCTCACTGCACGCACCGCATGCAACCATTAGACGTATCTTTCTATGGTCCATTGAAGACTTATTTTAATCAAGAAGTGAGCACTTGGTTAAAGAGCCATCCAGGTAGAGTTGTTACTCACTTTGAAATAGGCGCAATACTCAACAAAGCTTATGTAAAAGCAGCAACGGTTCAAACTGCCGTCAATGGATTAAAAAAAACTGGTCTCTGGCCTGTTGATCCATACATATTTCCAGATTATTTGGTTGAGCCTGCTGAGACGACAACAAGATCGGGTAGAGCCCGAAGAAGATTCAACGGCAGCAGAAAACCTATGCATACCCTCAGCGGGTCCATCTCAGGTAGAAGCAGGAAGTTCGACATTACTAATAATTGCAAGCACATCAGCCGCAGACAACCCACGTCCACTCTCAGTAGTCCAATCTTGAGACACAGCTACTGCAATACCTACGACACCCACATCATTTAAATTGATACTCCAAGAAATATCTCCAGTGCCAAAAGGAATTTATGTGGCTGGACAAGGTAAAAGAAAACCACGCAAGAAACCAACAGTATTGGTGTTAACTTCAACGCCAAATATAGAAGAGGCAAAAGCAAAATCAGCTCCTCCACCTGTTCCAAAGAAAAACACGAGAAAGGTTACAAAAGCTCTGGATTTTAGTTCCGACAGTGAAAATGATTTCTCTTCCTTACAAGCTCACACTGAAGCCGGAGATGATGATGAAGATTGTCCTTGCATTTATTGCAATGACCTCTACTCCAGGTCCAAGCCAAAAGAGGTCTGGCTAAAGTGCTTGAGCTGTAAAAGATGGGCTCATGCATCATGTGCAGATGTTCCGAAAAATACAAAACGTTTTACGTGTGAACTCTGCAACAGATAATATTGAGCCATTTGCTGCAGACATTACAGTTTGGGGGTCCAAATGCATAGTTTCATTAAACCGTATCTGCAAATGATGTTACAATCAAGTCAACACGGTTTTTTTTTTTGGAATATTTTATTTCATAAAAATGCAGTCGTTTCTTCTTTATGCTACCATCGCCAAACGGCAGTTTGTCAGCGAATACACCACCTACTTATATTCTATGTCCATTATTATTTATTGTCCTTAATATCCTAATCTTGGATTTGAACTGGAAATAAAATAAAATAAAAAATAATTTTATTTATCATAGTTTTGTCTATCATAGTTTAATTATATATTTGAGGAGGAAATTCATAGCACTATAACATGAACAAAGATTATGTTATAGGTTTTGATTTTTAGCTGTCGTCTCTTATGTTATGTGCCACAGGCAACACTTTTCCATAATAATAGATTCTGTAATAATGTAATCAAATAAACAAGTTTTGTGCATTAAAACTTAATGGTGCTATTAATAAAATAATAATTCGCTCCAAAATTAAATTTTACAGTGAATTTCAAAAATATTGGCACAAGCGCTCGCCGTGGATGACCCAGATTGTTGATTGTCGAATTTTTTCGTGTTAGAATCGAGATCGTAGGCATAAATCCAAGATTCCTCATCACTAATGATGTCGTAGACGTGATTTGACTCTCCTCGCTTGAACCTTTGAAAAGTTTTCGTACACCATCTCACGCGGGTCTTGTTATAATTGTCGGAAAACAAATACGGGATTCAACGTCAAATCAGCTTTCTCATACCTAGCGTTTCATCCAAGATCTTCTTAATGGTTGTCCCTAAGATGTCTAATAATGCCTCTATCTCTCGAAATTTTACATGACAATCTTTGAGAATTAGTTTTCTCACAGCAACGATGTGATCTTCAGTGAAGGCAGATTTTGGACGTCCTTAACGAGATTTGTTACTAAGATTGGTTTATTCACGCTGAAATTCTAAATACCAGCGTTCGATGGTCATCAGATATGGGACTTCATCATTGAACATAGAAATTAGCTCTTTAAAACACTGAATCTGGTTTAGACCCCTTCGAAAGATGTAAAAAAATTTCGCACGGATATTTTCCTTAGTAAGATTCATTTTCATACGTGACCCGATAGATTCAAAACGAATCTGTGACAAAGCAATAGCATTAATCCTCATTCTTTCAATGGTTTTGAGCTCCAGACTTTAAATAAATTTGAATATTGAACAGTTATAAATTCGAAATTGCCGGTTAAAATATAAACGATGGCACTTAAAAGGCATGCCAAGTATAAAAATTTAATTTACAATAAAAACATAATAAACGAAAATAGTCAGTGATTAAAACTACTTTTACGAATTTTATCGCGTTTAATTTTAATTTTAATTATTTTTATTTTTAATTTCCGACGTTTCGGGTGCTTTCCAGCACCCATGGTCACGGGGGACTGAGGTGACTGACGTCCCGATCATCGTCCCGTCATTGTTAAACCCACTCCGGGTTTCCGCTTTCCCTCAGCCCTTTTACCTTATGCTTTTTTAATTATTGTTTATGGTCCGATCTATGCAAAATGAACTATGTCTTGAGGTCTTGCAGTGGTATGCTTGGGTTTAGTTTTAATTTTATTGATTATAGGGACCCAAGCAGGTGGTAGTACCCAGCCTCCTTCTCTATTGAAATTAGGATTTTTTAATTTCAATAGCCTCACGTATCATACTTGGTAGGAATCGGTGTTCTTTCGAGAGAATTTGTGGTCTATCACTTCGTGGACGTGGACTTCTCGGAACGTTGATACTTTACATCAGCTATATTTCTTTTATTAAAAGTTCACCGTGACCATAGGTGCTGGAAAACACATGAAACGTCGGGAAAAAAATAACTAAAATTAAAATTAAACTTGATAAAATCCGTAAAAGTAGTTTTAACCAATGTGTATTGTTCGCGTAAGTATTAGAAATCATTAAGAAAATAGTCAGTTTTAATAAAGTAATATCATAATATATAACTTTAAATGTATATTACTTAAATTTATTGGAAGTCAAGAAGCCATATTATTTAAGAATAATAATGAAAGTTTTACGATCTACACAACCGAATGTAAAGAGAAGAAAGAAATAAAAATACACCAACACCTTGGGGTATAATTCTGAATGGAAATGTTATTGTATCGTTGGTGTAAGTATTGTATGTATTTTTAGCCGAATTTCTTCATCCGCTTCATAGATTTCTGTCTGAAACAGTTTACTGCTCGACATGCATCTTCTCGACAGTAGATAGAATTTATCATAAACTCCGTAAAACGTGAATCAGATCGCATTACCAGAAGTTTCTGATCTTGAATGCTGCTTTCAGTTACTAATTGACTTCATTATGTTTTGTTTAAATACATAACGATTATCTCTCCAACATTTCATATATTCGTTTTAAACTATAAGTTTATGATGCGATGTGGTGTTGGGTTTACCGATGCTGTGACTACGTTATTCTACGATTCAGTCCGTAAAAGTCCACTGCTAGGTTTTGGACCGCTCCCGTTATCACGACATTAACCACTGCACATACGTATTGAATTTAACCATATTTGTTTTTCGTCTTGCATACATTAACAAAAATAACATTAAATTACGTGGTAGAGCTATCCTGCAGGTATATTAGTAGTATAGTTGTAGCACGAATGGGTTGGCTCAACCACGCTCTCACAGAATACTAGCGTAAAATAGCAGATTAATACTGCTGTGTTTCGTATGGTGAGTGTAGAGAACCGGATACCCCTTTTTAACTGGAAACGAGACATTCCATCTTAGTCCTCACGGATGACAACGCATCTGCATTTTGTTTTGTAATCGAGGATACATGTGGATGTCTATAGGCCGCAGCAACCACTTACCATCAGGTGGACTGTGTGCTTGTTTGTCACCCTGTCCTATATAAAAATTATATATCTATATATTTTTTTACTATATTGTATTTTTTATTATAAATTATGTATATAAGGACATATTATTGTCCTTAATATATAACAGTATTAAAAGAAACACGCGTGTCAGTGAAAACTTTTAAAGATTGTAATACTTCGATTCTTTAACTTTCAAAATGACGCCTACGATTTTGTGATTTTAAAATAAGGTCTCGCCTAAGATATTCGCCGTGGCTGTTCAACCTATTTATTGACAGTTGTTTGCAAACTTTGAAAGATGAAGAATGTAAGTTAAGAATGGGCGAGTTAACCGTCAAATGCTTTTTGTATGCTGATGATCAAGTCACATTTGCGTCGTCAGCGGCCAAGTTGCAAATGACGGTTACATTTATGAACTGGTCATTAAAAGCAAAGGGAATGAAAGTAAACGCGAGTAAGACGAAAGTGATGGTTTTCGAAAGAGGAGAAATTCCCCTTAAAGTAAAACAAAAAGTATAATGTTACGTGAAATAAGAAAAGAAGGGGACTTGATTGAACAAGTGGATGAGTTCGCGTATTTTGATGTGTATTTTGTTGTGTATTATTAGTAGCAGGGACGGTAGATATGACCTAACCTTCAAACCTAACCTGTCCGAGTCGGGATGCCCTAAATTCCAAGCTCGCTTTGCTCG